AAGATCCAGGTTTTTCATATCCATGACAATTTTATTAAATTCATCAAGGTGTTCCTGAATGGGTGTACCTTCCTTCATCTTCAGTGTGTATAGCCGCTGCTTCAGGTATAATCTCGTAGTAAGAGATTTCTTCAAATAGAGACTTTCGAGCTTTGACCACAACCCCGCTGCCGTTTCCTCATCGGCAACTTCACGAAGCACATTGTCGGATAGTGACAATTGCAAGGCGCTGTGAGCCTTTTCGTCCATCTCTTCGATCTCGGCACTAGTCATATCTTCTGGGTATTTCCCATCGATAGCTTTAACCGTGCCTTCACGTCGCAACAAAGCCTTCATCTTTATCCTCCATAGGCCGAAATTTTTCTGGCCATCAAAGATCGACACCGAGAACTTCACAGAAGCCATTGTGGAGGATTGAAAGCTGTCCGAGAACCGAGAAGCTCTGATACCAGTTTGTTGAGATAATTAAACACAAAGCCAGAAAATAGAACAATCACAAACACAGTATTTACGTGGTTCGATCAAATTGATCTACGTCCACGGCAAGAGGGGAGTTTCACTATATTCAATCTCTCAAAATACAACGCACAATTCAATCTCTCAAAATACAACGCACATACTAAATTTGAGAGGACTCTTCTTTTGTTGCTCTCTCGCTCTCTCAGGTTGTAAACACACAGAGAGTTTAAGAAGGAATGTGAGATTGTGAGAATCCAACCGGGGGCCCCATCAATTTGACCTCTCTTCTTCCGAAATGAGGGCGACAACAATATTTCAAGGCTGATATTTTGACGGCTCAAATCAGCCGCAATTCTTGAAAAACTTAAGAGAGATGAAGTGAAAGCGACATTGACTACGACCTCTCTTTCATTTTCTTCTAGCCGTAATTGTTGAAACCAAAACAAAAAAAACGTTGAAGAAGTGAACGCTGTAAATCTCTTCTTTGATTCTACAATCAAAGTCGGGTCCCGCCATTTATGGATTCAAGCCATAAAATCAACATTAATTGATAACAATTATCTTTCATAATCACATCAAGTATATAGATTTGTGAATACAAACCATCAAATGCACAGTTAACTCTTGCAAACTTCGAATAAGTTGGTTGCTTAGATTACCACACTAAATAAAAGTTTGGTATATCGAAAGTTAAAAGGTTTTCTAATAACTCCTGCACTTAATGGGGTGTTTTCTGGTACCATTATAGTTATGGGGGTTATCTGATATGTAGTCATCGTGCTTAAAATGGATCCGCAAGTGGATCTTGTAGGATCCGACTACCCCTGGCATAGATTTTCCTCGTGCTGGACTCGACCGAGGCCATGGCGTCCACCTCAGCAGATCAGAGGTCAGAGCTCTAATTTTGCCTCTTCGTTCACTTGTTTTGTGGGATTTCTTTGATTTCTTTCCAAGTTAATCTCATTGAATGATTTTACTGCGTTTATTGATGTATGATACTTAACTTGAATGATGAAGAAATCTGAATTTTGAAACATGTGTACATGATTCCTCGATTTTTTGAATTATTTCAGATACTTGCCTGAACGACTGAAACAGTTGGAAGAAATATTTGGAAGGGATTTTGTTGAAGTATACCAAGACAAGAAAGTTTTTGGCTTGCAAATTAGTTGCGATTGCCAAACGCTGCAGAAAGTTATGGGTACGACGTGACTGCTCATTTAGCTAAATCAAGATATGGACTAGCGGTAAGGCCTACCTGCTATTCACGCTGGAGCAGGTGGACTTTACCACGTATACTTATTTAGCAAAATGAGGTGACATCTCATACCTAGTATGCCCACTCCGGTATCAAGTGGTTAATTCTTAAGGTCCCGTTTGGTAAAGGATTAAAGAAGAGGGATTAAGAAGAAGGATTAACATAGTTAGCCTATTCGATAACCCGAAGGACTAAATTATTAATCCGTTATATAAGTTTTATTTTAACCCTTACGATTATTTTTAGTGTTTGGGAATAACAAGGATTTTGACTTTTTTTTTATATAATTAGAGAGCTTAACTCTTAATCCTTCTAAACAGGAGTACTAGTAAACCCCTCATTTTGAGGGGTTAACTCATTTTAATCCCCCTAGGGGGGTTAGCTTAATCTTTCTGCTTTTTTTGCGTTTGACAAACTATAGAGGGTTAACTTACTTTAACCCTTGCGTAGATTTTTTTGTGTTTGACGGGTTAAGAAGGGGTTAAGTCTCATTAATCCGTCACTTAACCCTTTGCCAAACCGCACCTAAATATTAGTGGAGGAAGAGGCAAAATATAGAAACCATTGTAGGAAATAGGAACTGGATAACTAATAAATAACAACATGCATGAGCAAGTAGAAACTAAAGATCAGTCTTAGACAAACAAGGCCGGTCTGAGAAATAAGAGATTTAATAATTTGTCGGTTGATTGGTCTATATTCCTTCATTTTGAATCAATAGGAACTGGATAACTAATAAATAACTTTTATTCAAGTTACTCAAGGGTGTGCGAAATGCAAACGCAACGTCTTGTGCTCACAAGGCTGGTCAACTCAAACTTACAGAATATATACCAAGTAATTCCTCACTTTAATAAAAAAAAGTCTTTATGGTTCTTCTAATTCCCAGTTATTGATTCCTCAATTTTATTTTTGAAGCTGAGCTAGTTCCTGCCGTCAATATTCTTTGCCTTCAGCACCATTTGTGTTCATCTATCCATCCAATATATGCTCTTTTAGCACCTACAATTAATAGCATGTGCACTTGAAATATACAAGTTATGCACATATTGTGTGTCATCTTCAAGACTATATACAAAGAAAGAAAGTCGACGCGCCACAATTTTTCTCATTTTCACCTGGCTGTAGCCATCATGTCCACTGCAACTAGTAAGTGTTGCGACTGATGCTTTGAGAAACCAAACCAACGAACGCCGAGAGAAAGACCAAACAAAACACAAACACCAAGGTTTTACGTGGTTCGGCAAATTGCCTACGTCCACGGGGCAAGAAGGGGGTGGGTTTTCACTAATAGAGAAGGAGAGTACAAATTGAGATTACAAATCGCTCAAACGAACCAACTAATCTCACCAACAAATCTCTCAATCTCTCAACCAATAACCCTAACAAATAGCTCAGAAAGATCTCTCTTTTTCTGTGCTCCAAAACCCCAAAACTCTCCTCACAAAACCCTCAAATCGTATTGGTATTTATACCAAAACAGAAACCCAAACAGACTGCAAATAGGAACCTGAACTTTCCAAAAAACCCGTCATAAGTCGACTTATCAGTCTGCATAAGTCGACTTGGCAGAGCGAAAAACAGCAACTGGAGAAGAGATCATAAGTCGACTTATCAGACCTGATAAGTCGACTTGGCAGAGCAAAAAACCAACAATCCAGAGCAGAACGTAAGTCGACTCATGCACCAACATAAGTCGACTTACCATAAGTCGACTTATGCCTGTGCATGAGTCGACTTATGACCAAAAATCTGCTTTTTCCAATTCTTCTCCACAGTAAGTACCACCTTTTCGCTTCTTCCTTGTCGCGCCTGCAGTAGTAAAAATAATTAGTTTGGAAAGGATACGTGCAGGAGAAACACATTCCTGGAATCTTGCGAATATACAAGTCATGAGAATCTTATATTCATGTTAATTGACGTTCAAATTGTGCGAAAGCTCCGTATATAATCTTAGTACACAAATTTCTAGGAATCAGATCTCTGCGATTCACATCCTCAAGAATGTTCTACTGGCCGGGGAACTCCTCATTCTGCAGGTGAATTTCAACAAACCCACCTCCACATTTGGTGGTAAGCAATAGTATTTTGGTATGGATAATTTTCAAGGACAAGAAATCAAGATTTGGGTGGGTACGTTCTAAAACATTAAGGATGATAATTTGTTGTTTGAGATTTTTGAAGATTTGGATAAGTGATTTTGGTTTGCTAGGTGTAAGTTGGAGATATAAAGAGGGACTGATGGAGCCTGCTTCCAAATTTCAAGATTCTTGATAGAAAGTTTTGGGGAAGAAAGGAAGGAGAAAGAATGTGCTATAGAAATTCTGCTCAATGTTTCAGGCCATATATCTTCACTAGTAGAAAATTACACATCCTAAACGGAAAATTCCGTCTAGGAAAATCAAAATTCCGTCTAGAATGAGTATTCTAGACGGAATTCCGTCTAGAATACCCGTCTAGGAAGTTTCCGTCTAGGATATTGTATTCTAGACGAAAATTCCGTCTAGAATACATCCTAGACGGATTATTCTAGACGGAATTCAAAACCGTCTAGAATACATCCTAGACGGAGTATCCTAGACGGAATTTTCCGTCTAGAATACTTCATTCTAGACGGAAAAAATTTCCGTCTAGAATAGGTATCCTAGACGGAAATTTCCGTCTAGGATATCTATACTAGACGGAATTTCTATTTTTTATTTTTTTTAAATTTTTTTTATTTAAAAAAACATTCTAGACGGAATTTGAGCATCCTAGACGGAATTTCCGTCTAGGATGCTATGCTACAGTTTTTTTTTTTTTCTTTCTTGGTATCCAGGCTCATCCTTCATCCATTTTAAGAAACATGTACAATACACCAAGATCATCTTTGTAAGGTGAACAATGTGCCCAAAATCCATAAACAAATTACCTGACGTCAACATGAATAACAAAGCAATTTATGCAACCAAATACATGGTAGAATTGAATATATGTAAGTGATCATATAATTCATATAATTAACTACAAGAATGGAATCTTTGCATGAGTACAAATTACTACAAAAACCTCAATAAAAATAAAAAAAAAACACAAAAAACAACAAAAAATTAAGAACTAAACTGCAACTGAGTTGCTAATCAAGCTGCATCCTCGCTGCCTAGCATCAGATCTGACGACCAGAACGCTACTCCTCCATCCTACACCCAAAAAACAAAACATCACAATTTCAACTCTTCAAATATTTAGCATAGAACTTAAGCTCTGGTATATGCTAAAATTAAATATTTATAAGTTATAAATTCTATTTCATGGACTCATGTAATGCTCGTTCAGCAAGCTCATACATCACACTATTGCCATCTCGGCCACTAGTTTTTTCCTTCTGTAAATATCTGAAAGAAAAACTGATTTAAAGAACAGAATGAACTACAAGATGCAGTAAGAGACATCCTTACCTTTGCTTTAACTGATTTAAAGAACATATGGTCTTCATCACTGTCATTTTACTCCCATTCGCTTTAACTGATGCCAGAGATTTTCTACAATCCTTAGAAGTTAGCAAAACTTAATCGCAAACAGTTGGATCAGAAAAGTGCAAAAATAGAAGAACCAGCGTATAATTATGGTAATTCCAACTCACATTCAGATATATTATTTTGTGGCATGGTATCTCCATTGTTGACGGGAGAGCAACTAAGGCTTCTAGCTCTGGGGTAGATTTCCCTGGAGTTTTTGCTCATTACCTTGCTGAGTTTGGTCTTAAGACTAAGAACCTTAGACTGGATATTGTCAAGGTTGTGAAGTACTTTCTCTAAAGAGTCGTCACCATCATTGAGGCCTAGTAAAAGCCATTCATAATCTTCATTGCGTTTTGCAGCCTCATCGCCTGCTTCGAATTGATAACAAGGGAAGAAAAGATCAAGGACATTAATAGCTAGGAAATTCTCTCATTGCCTGGTCATAGCAGGTAGTCATATCAACTAAATTACAACCATGATAAATCTGTAGAGACTATGCGATGGTTTACTTTAACAAATTTGTCATAAACAACAGCGTATAATTATGGTTCTTTTAATCAAATGGGATTAAAGGTACTGAAAACACCATCAAGATTATACCCATTGAAGAGTTAATAAATTTCAGAAGCGGCTGTCCTGAGGTTCATTAAGTTGGCTTTGCAGCCAAGGAGATTATCAGTATTAATAAAAAAGTTTAACTTCATGCAAGCAAGGAGCAGTTCCCCAATCCTATATATTCTTTCTACAAGAGTCAAAACTGATATTTAACCTGTCCTCACTTTTGTCTATTGGCCTCCAATGCCTGGCTTCAAAGCAGAAACTAAGAGAAATGTTTGGACTCAGATTTATCTTAATTTATGTAGAGTTAGACGAAGCCACTAAAGAACATATCACATGATATTCAGTTCATTTATCATCATCGAGAATATTTCTAACCAGTTTATTTGTTTAATCCCATAAATCTTCTCGTATTGAAACTTTATCCGTATAAGAGGTAACGAAATTATCAACAGAAGCTTCTATGGAAGAGAAAAAAATCCATAAACGTTTACACACAAAGCCTTGAACAAGTGAATTTCATGATGGCCATCTTCACAGCAGGTCGACAGATGTTTTGTCATTTGACAGGAAATCACAGGTTTGTCTTATGTAAATATACATAGTTAAACATTATGGTTCATACTATCAAAGAAATAAATAACAATCTAGCTTACAGTATTAGCTGTGATGTATTGCCAAAAACATGATAGGGAAATAGCTTAATATGACGTCAGATAGACAAGAAGGTTAGCAGATACACATGCTTGATATCTTTCTCTGATACATTGTTAGACGAACTTCAGCATTCATTCTTATGCACCATTCATTACATATCATAAGAAAACAGCCAAACCAGCATTAAAAGAAAAAGTCCAGATAATTGTGCATAGCTAAATTCCCTTTTTTGTTCCCTTTAGCATTATGTCCAACATAATACGGTACAAAATAGTACTAAATTTAAAAAGATTGAATAGGATTAAAGCCAATGAAACTCATTATTTGACTAGACTACAAAAGGAAACAGCCATACCTCGATGGCCACAATCATTATCCACTGACTGGCAATCAGTTTCAGCTCTCTTATTTTCTGCAGGAGATTGAGAAAGCATGTCAAAATAGTTTTTACTCAGCAAAAAGACCAGAACCTGAATATGAATATTGTTGGTACCATAATAAGAGAAAATGCTATGGTTCGACATGTATGATGGTATATCAGCTGTATCTTCAATCCTTTTTCTTTTCATTCTCTTCATGGCTCTTTTACTGTGCCTTTTACAAGAGAGAGGTACCATAATAAGAAACATATATTTATCACAGGAAACGAAAGTAAGCATCATCATCTACTAGAAACAATATATTTATCAGTTTCATCATCCCAAACGCTCGGAATTGAAAATTTAACCCCAGCCCTACTAACTCTGAACACCGAATCAAGAGAGGTAACCTCCTGCCTTGGCGTCGTTGTTCTTCTCCATCGCGAGGGGATCTGCTTCTCATCGCATCGGAGAGACCAAAGACGAAAGACGAAAGCATAAATTGTCGGCGACCTGGCCTTGGAGGGAGAGGGAGTAGAGGGGGAGGGAGGGGGCGGGGTGTGAGGTTGAGGATTTGGGGGGGATGAGGCTGATTTGGGATAAAAATTTTCATTTTTGGGGGGAAAGGAGGGCGGTTAATTTTTTGACGGGTTAATTTTTTTTTAAAATCACTGTGTATTCTAGACGGAAATTTCCGTCTAGAATAATTATCCTAGACGGAAATTTTCCGTCTAGAATGCCTGATTATTTTAAAAAAAATAAAAAAAATAAAAAAACCGTCTAGAATATTATTCTAGACGGAATTTTCCGTCTAGAATATTTTATTCTAGACGGAATATTCTAGACGGAAAATTTCCGTCTAGTTTAATACATTCTAGACGGAAAAAATTCCGTCTAGAATATTCCGTCTAGAATACATGATTTTCTACTAGTGCTTCTTGTTGGGCAATAAAATTCAGCCTCAAATCAAAGATGCTTAATCTACAAACCTGAAGCAACTATTTCATCATGTCAAGGGAATCTATAACGAACATTTTTATTACTTGGTGGCTCATTCTATAGAGACTTTACACACGTCTCAAATGTACTAATGCTTTACATAGGCGAATAAACTCTATCCTGACAATTGCGACTGTTCATATCATTTTACATGCCAATTTTACAATTACTCATAAAACTCCATGTACCAATTTCGTTGCAGGACTAGTAGGATTATGAGACCAGTAGGTTTTGATCATGTTTGTCAATACGCTATTAAATCAAGTGCACGATCTAACAGTAAAATCTTCTCGAGTTGAAGAATATGTATGCTGATAAACAAAACATGCTCAGTTCAAGATTAATGCTGCGAGAAAGCATTTTGCATCATCGAGCCACCTTATATCCTCCAACTTTCTTCACTTCATTCCTTAAGAGAGTTTGACATTTTTCTTAAATTGAATAATATTTTGATATTTGGTTAAACTTCAATAATTCAAGCAACTACTTACATAAAGGAGCTAAAACAAGCTCAATAAACTTACCAACAACACCATGATCACCCTTCATTTAAGCCCCCATGTAAAAGATGTGTGATTTACTCTACCACTCATAATAAATACTAAAAACGCGCTTAACATATTACATGATATTTTACTAGTAGTATCCACGGCCACTTGCCTCCTTCAAATATTTCTAACGCTGAACCAGTTTTCATGCTTGCTATATATTCTGGGCTCAAGATAACCTTGCAAGATGTATCAATGAATAGGCGGTTTATTTTAGAAATTCTCTTTGTGGAAGTCGAACTTAGTTGTCGTCTTCCGCGAGAAATCCACAGCTATTTGTCGCAGTTGGTTCGTTAGGGCTGCTGCTCCACAATAGAACACACCTGCAGATTCGACGAAATGTAAGGAGATACGATTAATTCAGCCAACAGGTTTGAATCGTGTAAGACGATGAAAAAACATACCAACACGTTGATCAGGATGATTGAGTGCGATTCTCTTGTACACATTTCTCCAATTAGGCCGAGCAAAATGTGACTTGACGTGAGTCCCGGACACAACGTCGAGCCCGCTCTTAGCGTGGTGAAGGGACTGCAACATGGCTATAAGTGCAGACCTCGCGTCGCCTTCCTCGTAAACACTGGTGCAATGGTTGTGCAGCTCGATCGCGCCCTTCTTGTCAGTTTCGGCCACTTCGTTCATCACCCCCCTGAACCACTCGAAGGAGTCTTGCTCCCTCGTCATCCAGTAGAAGTAGGCCCGCCTTGTTTTGAAATAGGATCGTACCCGGCTCCCCCTCTTGCTAGTTTGTCTACTGAAACTGCCGTTGCTACTGTCACTTTCGCCTCCACGCTCAAGGTCGTGTTGGGCGTTAGCCACGGCCTCATCGTCTTGTACTTTCATGTTGTTCACTATGTCTTTAAGGATGCTGATGAATGGTGTGGCTCCGATGCCTAGACCCACTAGAAGGACCACTTCATACTTCTTGTAGTTCTGGGCCGGTGCACCGTAGGGTCCGTCAACCAGGACCCTGGGGAAACTGCACAAGGTATATTCCGGTCATTAACGTATGGGGAACCAAATTTTATGCAAAATCAAGAATCAGATCATGTAAAATCAATGTTCGGATCACATACATTGGACCGATGGTGTCCTCGTCAGCATCATTTTGAGTTCTTAAAAGCCTGTGTGTCCGGCTTGGTGGATGGCAAACCTAGCTCAATAACAGAAATTATCAGCTGATTGCCAGTTCAGATATAAACCATTTTGCCCAAGAAAAAAAAATTCCAACTTCGGATCGAGTTTGGTTTTTAACACACCTTAGAGAAAATGGTCTTTAGTTGACGCGTCCAATCACCGAGAGTCCGAATGTGAACACTAATTTAATCATCCTGAGGTGCTGAAGTAATGGTGAAGGGATGCCTGTTTGTAATTTAAAAAAAAAATGGAAGGTAAGCAAAATCAATCGACTCTTTGGTGGTGCAGGGTATAGCTATGTTGAGCCTTTTCTTTGAAATAGATTGATTTGATCAATAATATCGTTACTGCATATATAATTATATACCATTGGAAAGGTGACACGGCAGCACAGTTGACAAATATGTACTGGCCACTCTTGTATTTGAATCCGTGAGGCTTGGAAAATTGTAGTGCTAGCACATTGCCAGGGTACACTGCAACTTTCAGGATCTTAACAGGCCTGACGGTTGAGCGGAAGGCCCTGATGAGCCTTTCAGCGGCGTAGACGATAAGGGGAATCGCTACGTACATCCATGTCTGCATTATCAAAGAACGTGTTACTTTCGACAAATTGATACGCATTAGTACAGATAGCAGGGTTCTAGACGTGGCGTTGTTGGTTGTACCGTTTTCTTCAGCCATGTCTTTGAGAAATAGAGAGAGACGCCGTGGATAATGTGGAGGATGTAGACGACGACGAAGAGGTGGTGAGAGTACCAAAATGCATTGAATCCTGTTAGCTTCTTCAGTGGTTTAGGGAGGTTCATCCGGCCCCGACGAAACCAAGGGGTGGCTAATATGAACGCAATGGTCATTAGTACTACCATTAAGATGCCCGAATTTCCTTCTATGTTGTTTATAAACCACCAGAAATTGCTGTTGTGGACGCGACGAGTATAGTTGCACGCTATGAGAGGGCCAGCATGGAAGATGGTACCAACAGTGATACCCAGCGCGATTACCTGTTTGAAATGTCATTTTTATTACGTGTGCTCATAATTTGAGATGCTGTAAACCATCTGAATAGGTTTATGATGTTGACATTTTAAACATAGGAATAGCACTTTCTCCATTGTCTTAGCTTTTTTACCATCACAATGTATAGCAATGCTAAGGTTTGTGAAAGATAAGCCAAACATTTCTAATCTGTCAAATTAATGTCAATATGCTAAGTTGGAATTAAGTTATTTGTAGGAAACCAATAAGATTAGATGATATAGCTAACTTATGCTTCCAACTTCTGGTATTTGTACTTATTATATTGATGGCTTCAGTGAATTATGAAAAGACTTTAAATTTAGGCCTAAAAAGCAATATTTGAGCTGTAAAATAATAACAAACTTCTGTTAGATAAGGATTTGAAAGCTGAGTATTTGCTAGTTATACTCTTATTGTTATCCTCTTTGTCATGTTTTCTGTATCTCGAATTCTTTTATTCTCTTCAGTGAAGAAATGCTGGATAATATGACTCGTGGTAGCCGGAGGAATCTTTATGTGAACCACGAGTTATTCTACAGTTTATATCTACTTCACTACATCCTTAGTTTCTTTCTTGTGTATGGAATTCTGGTGAAGAGCATACCTTGTGGAAGTTAAGGTTGTCATCAAAGGGAACAAAACTGCCAAGCTTAGTGTTTCTGAGCCAAGTAATAGTATTTCGACAGACAGTTAAAAGAATGAGTGCCATATTGAACTTGAGAGTCTCCGCAGCGCCCTTCGCAGTGCAAACACAGTAGCCTAGGACATTGAAAACTGCTCGTTGTCGAAACTGGAAAAATTTCCAAGTAAACAGTCCAGCACATATGCTGAGCCAAAGCATCATCACCCAAACCCTCTGCCAGTTATCCTCCAAAAAGTACTTAGAATGTTGACACCACCTTCTCAAAGGGTTAGGCTCCTTGGTCGGCCTCAGCTTCGCACTTAGCATCTGGCTCAGGAACTCACTGTTGCCACGAACTACAGATTGGCTTGGTGCTTGAAGTAGAAGTGTCTCCAAGTTGTGAATCTGATGAGTAATACAGAATGATATCAATGAAACAATCATAGTTAACTGTGCAAGTTTTTGGTAGTTTTTGATATTTACCTCGACATAACCGAGGTTATCTGGGTCTAGCTCTTCCATGACCAGTCTCGCATATTCTTCTGCCTTCTCTTGGATCTTCGATAATTTGTTAGCTGACGCGCTTAGAGATATGATCTGAAATGAAATGCAAATTCTATAGTTAACATAAAAACTAACTTAGACGACTCAATAATCATCTGTAGGATATTATCATCGTGACTCGAATCGTTCCTGAGTCCTTACCTCCCGGACCTCATCTTCTGTGATTCTCCCATCAGCATTCTGGTCCACCCTGCATAACCAAAGAGAAGTTTAGTGATTAAGGCATCTTAAACAGTTATTACTAGAAAAGAGAGAAAGGGTAGATAACTACATGTCAAAGAATGTTTGAAGCCTAGAATCAAAGCTCTGATCCGAAATCTGATCCCAGAACACTTTCAACTGATCCTTTGTTATTGAAGAT